AATATAAAATATAATTTTGAATAAGAAACAACAAAAAAAATAAATAAATAAAAGAGAGAATCCATTCGGAGTAATTAACATTTCAAAATGAATGAAAATAATATTTCTTCGGAGATTTTTTCGTGAAAACAAGAGAGAGAGAGAGAGAGAGAGAACGAAATGAAAAAAACAGGATTCACTCGTTTGAATGTTAAATATAAATACCAAATTAAAAAAAAAGGTATTATATCAAAAATAAAAACAGCCAGATGAATTTTCGCATAGGATGGTAAACAAGTTGATTTTCGTCGAGGTCAAAACAGGAACACACGCATGCACATTTTTCCACCCTACCCTTTCCTTCCCTTCCCTTCCCTTCCCTTCCTGTCCTATCTCTCTACATATCCATATCTATCATTCTCAGCGAACGAAATTAATCCGTGCTAGAGAGACGCACGCGTGTAATTATTTTCCTTGCAAATTTCATTGTGTAATTTTTATGTGTAGACGGAAGAAATCAAAAAAAAAAAAAAAAAAAAAAAAAAAAAAATAAATAAATAAAAATATTAATTACTTAATATTTGGGGCTACCGAAAAGTAATGAAAATTTCTTCGATGAGTAGTACATTCAAATTTAGTTGGTGTCAATGAAAAATCGAAGGACTTTTTAAAATAGGAAATTGAACAATTTTTAAAAAGTAGTTAAAGGCAAAAAGTGTTAGAAAATGATGAAGAAATTTGTTCTTGGTTAATTAGCATTGTGAAAATTTGTTTAATAATTAAATGTTTTTAGTTATCAAAGACAAATTGATTACTTTTAAGACCATTTAATAAATGCATTGTAATTTGCATATAATAGTTCAATGCAATTCTATGCATTTGAATGTCATCGTTTTGCTTGAACTTTCATTCTATGACTGTTCTATTAGAGAAGCATTGCTTCAAATTTTCCTAGCATCTTGCAAATTAGAAAAAACTAATCTTTTTGTTTATATTCGTTTAAGAAAATGACGATTAACATAAGACGACTAACATAAAACGACGACAGGGCGTTTACTTTCGCTACTTAAGGAGCGTCCACACGTCGTACACCTAAATAAGGCGTGATCGGTACTGAAACGAGTTTCGCGCAAGGTAATCTCGTTAATTGGACATGCCACGAGACCCTCTCCTTGTGTTTCTACTCTAGAAAAGTCTCTTTCGTATTTCTTCTATTTTTCGCACGATCGTTTCTCCTGTAGGTTTTTGATACTTCATTCAAATCATTTCATCAACGATTAAACCTTAACGAACGAGCTTAATTTACTTGAATAATGATTTGTACAATAGATCGACGGATTTTTGAGATATTTTGTGTTTTATTTTCAGAGCTATAAAAAGTGAATCATTAATTTTGATTTATTTGATTTTTTTAGGGGGAAATTTTTAATAGCAATTACTAGTATATAAATTTATTTATATATGCTACCGAAATATTACTTTCTTGCCAACCCAATAGATAAAAAATAGTTTCTATTTGGGTCTCTCTACTGTCTGTCTGTCTATCTGTTTGTCTCTATTTTCGCATGAGAAATAGTTTAGAAACGATTCGTGGATACTCGAGAGAATTCCTCGTAAACGTCAACGTGAATCTACTCCTCGACATTTCATTCACAGAGGACCGAGTAAGTTCTCCGCGTGTCATCGGCCATGACTCACGCGTACTTTCTCACTCCCACCCCCATCCCCCTTGTATATACCTTACATTAGTCAAGGTATATAGCACGGTCTTTCCTCTCTTTATTGTGTTATATTCTACAGCTGATGATATATATAATATTATACAAGAAAGAAAACCGAAATTATTCTCTTGCCAACCCAATAATAGTATATTTATTTGTTATTAATGATAAGATCAATAAATAATTATTTTTTTGCAGAACACAACACTACGAGATATCTATCTCGTAGTTGGCAATCAATGGGTTGCCCTAACTATCCTAAAAGAAAAAGAGTAACAAAAAATAGACAGATAGGTGAATAGATAGAATGAGACGAATGTAAAGAGACGTAATCGAAGAGAGAAATCGATTAGAAGAAGCGTGAAAACTCGTTCGATTCGTTTTATTCGAAAGATAAGCTTCCTCCTCCCACTTCTCTTTCTCTCAGCAACATCTATAAATTCATCTCTCATCCGTAAAATCCTCTTGATCTCTGCCGATGATCTTTATTGCTTTTCTTCTTCTTCTTCTTCTCTTTTCTCCTTTTATCTTTCTTTTCTTCTAACAACATTTTCTACGTTAATCTTAAAAGTGTCTTCTTATCTATCTCCTTCCAAAAGGTTGATTAATTATTGCAAAGTAAAATGTATTTCAATTGAAAAACTACTATCATCACATTTATCCAATTTTTTGTTCTATTTAAACCACCATTGTAATTATCGAATATGCTTTTAACTAATGTATGTGTAATGTAAAATATGTAGATCATYCCATCCCATCCCCTCCCCTTTCGTTTCGTTTCATTTCGTTGTTCATCCTAGGAATTTGACGATCTCATGGGGTTTAGTTAAAGACGGGGCTTAAGGTACGTATATAGGAAGAACTAGTGATTAATGGTTCCGAGAGTTCTTTGTCGTGAAACGATCAAAGAGGGACAATGCGAGTAATAGCGTGTCGTCTCGAGCAACTCTTATAAAAGAATGACTGACTGTAAGAGTAGGGAGGAGGAAAAAAGAAAGAGGGAAATGAAACTTCATGGAAAGTTAAACTCGTGTTATAATCGTCTAATTCTTCTTCTTGTTTTTTTTTTCTTTTTTTTTCCTTTTTTTCTACCAATTAAGATTAAAAGTTAATTTGTGAAATGTCGTTGACTTGGAAATGTCTATTTTTCTAACGGCCACGATTTTCCCATGTCAGTCGATGCGACTGTTTTTCCACTGACTACCGGGGACCCAAACAGTATCAGAAAATTTGATACTATTCTTGAAGTTGAAAAAATAATAATAAAGGCAAATAAAATAAAAATATCAATTGAACATTAATAAACGTGTGTATTAATTATCCCCTTCCATTTTCCCACCCCTAACGAACCAAATTATTCTCCTTTAATTTATAATTCGTTGGTACACCGTCGAATTGCAACGAAAACGTAAAATGAGGGGGATGAAATTATTGCGGACGACCTACGATTCTCTCGTCGATGAGAGAGATTCAAATGATGAACGTAGGAGAAAATGTTTCAAATGGCGTTCAAGTGTAGGAGGAAGAGACAATGATGGAGGTGGTGTCGCTCGTGAAGACCGCAGAGAGTTGCAAACCTGGTGAAATGTGGTTACCCGTGTGTGGATGCGTGTTGATAAATCCTATGACAATGCAAAACCACTGTTCTCCAAAACCCCCACCAATCTGTCTCTTTGTCATTCATTTCAAATCCAAATTATGAAAGGAACGATACTATTTTTATAGAATAGTGTGCTACATTCGAATGCTTCGATATTTCGTTGCAAAAATTAGAATGATACGGGAATTCGATTAAATTCTTTTTCAAAGAAATATATTACATTTTTATTTTCAACCAAATCTAATTGGAATTCTCAATTTTCCGAGAATTGAAAGGTCGAATAAAACCTATATACAATAATTGGAACACTATTCGGGCTAAAAAAATTGATAGGGGAAAAAAAATCAAACGAGTAAGGAACATGGAAATATAAAATTTGCATTCGAAACGCATATAGACAAAAAAAAAAAAGAAAATGGTTCGAGTAATATCCTGTTACTGTGTCTGCTGGTGGTTAACGAATTTCGCGGATTAGAGCACGTGTCAAGGCGCGTTTTAGTTTAAACGTATCCCAGGCTTTTGAATAATTAACCGCTGTCACCGACACCCGGTAAACGTCCCGTATCCTCGAACGACGTCTAATTAACCTCTCGTTTCTGTTCAACACGAATACGATCCACATACAATCAGATAGAAAGAGAGAGAGAGAGAGAGAAATAGGAATAGGTTTTTTCAAAGGGAACACAGACCATGATTACATAGAAAGTAGTTTAAACATCCGTCATTTCTGCAAAATTTTGCAACCATTGATGATGGACCACATTAATCAACTTAAATCATTCTACTTGTTATTAACAAAACTAAATGTTATAATATAATGAATGAACAAATTTGTATGATAATACTAATATCTTGTTTCATCTCTCTTTCTCTTTCTTTGATTCTTTTTATCTTGATCCAATTAATTAGCAATACGTTCATACAAACGTTTAATTAATGGATGAAGGTAACGTTCAAAGGTGATTACTAATAGACGTTGATATTACAACCATATTGCAAAGCGATTATGATTCTATGTGATATCGGATATGTTAAATAATATATTAAATTAATAGAATAATTTAACTATTAACAAAGAATATTTTATACTTCTAACATATATGAAAAGAATAGATATAGAACATAGAGAAAAAGGAGAGAGAGAGAGAAAATGAATTGAACATGCAACAGTTTCTCGAGTTTTCGTAATCTCCAAATCGAAGAGATATACATACACGTCGTTAAAACGTAAAAACACGCAAACAAGACTATTTTATTTATCTCCACTAAGAAAAGTAACACAACAACGAACGTAAACAAAAATCAAAGAAAAACTATGAAACACGTTCAACGAGAATTTTCAACAACATTTTTCGTTGACTTTTATCAAATGAAACCGAAGGAGGAAGAAGCTTCGATAGTTGTTCGGTCCGTTTGTTCTCTTGGTCGAGTCCAAAATAAAAGTTCTTTTTTAATAACGCGTGTACTCTCTCTTTCTCTCTAACATATTTTTCTCTTATGAAAAAAAAAAAAGGTATCACACGAGTTACATTTTCAATTGACAATAATAATAATATTACAAAATATCTTAAAATAATATTACAAAAGTATTTTCGATAAACGTTAATCGATACAATTTTGGTCTGATTGGTAAATTAGAAATAAAGAAAAAAAAAGAAAAAAAAAGGAAAATAGGAAGTGTTAGAGAACAACTCACTCACCGTTAAAACGAGGATAATCCGTGTGTAAGAACAACGAATGGAGAAAAGGGCAAGAAAACTAAGAAGTAGAACAATGCACCCGATGCACCCTCTCGAAGAAGAAAAGTTATATATCCCTTTGTGCTTTTTTCTCTCTCTCTATCTTTCTATAGTCGATAATCGTCGTAGTCGTTCTTCTTGTTTTTGTTGTTGTTGTTCTTCTTGTTCTTGTTAATAATACTGTTATTCACTATGTTCTTGTAGCACATATCACACCAATAATTAATAAAATAAATAAAACCAAAAAATGAACTGAAAAAATAAGTATGACGAAAAAAAAAAAAACAACAAATATTCGGAAGAAGAAAAACGAGTGAAGGAGTCACACAAAAATATATCAAATTCCGCGCTCAAGTTGAAACGTCACGCGGGCCCGGATTATTGGCTCGTTTTGCATTCGTCGTCCCTTCACCCTCTTCACGCTACTCCTCTCTCTCTCTCTCTCTCTCTCTCTCTCTCTCTCTCTCTCTCTCCAAATCTATGTATATATTTCTATCTTCGTTGAAGAACTTTACTTTCACTTCTTAGGAAGAGTGGTGAACAACGCACTAATAAAGCCGGTTGTGTGCATATATATATAATATTAATAAATATATATATATATATTATATACAAATAACGTAATCCGTGTAAGGGTGAATTATTTACTTGTTTTTCGTTGGTCTTTCTCTTTCTCTCTCTCTCTCTCTCTTTCTTATGTAGGAGAAGACGAGTGAGAGCTTCTCTAACACGTTACACGTTCGACCGACCGACTGGTACTCTCTTCTCGTACTCGTAGTCGTCGTTCGTTGGCCGTCAGCACTCCCACCACTACTACCAGAACTACCACCACCACCACCACCACTACCACCTTCACCTCCACCACCACCAACTTTGTCGTCGTTCGTAGCTGTAGCTGTAGCTGTAGCTGCTGCTGCTGCTGTTACTGTCGTCAGGTTAGGTCGCCGGTCGGGCGCAGTAATACACTCTACACGCACGTAGGGAATGACGACGCACTACGCATGCATACACGCACGCACGCACGCGCGATTTACGAAAAATGCTCAGATACGAGAGAGACAAAATCTTATATATGTTATGTATTTCACCCTCTCTTTGTCTTTGTCTCTCTCTCTCTCTCTCTCTCTCTCTCTTCAATTCGATAAATTCTATATTTAAAAAAAAAAACAAACAAAGAAGGAAAGAGAACACACTAGAAGAATAGACTTTTCTCTTTCGATTTGTACAAAATAGAAAAAGGATGAAACGTACAAGCTAGCTCCTCTCACACTATTATTATTATTGTTGTTCTTCTTCTTCTCTCTGGATCTTTCGATGAATGCAACGACGAGTGCAAATAGAAAATACAATAATACTGATAATAAGAAAAATAATAGAATATAATATTCGTCACTATGATATGTAGAGGCAGCTGATTTATTAATGATAAAAAAATATTCGATACGATTAGGAACTATCTATCTATTATAATTTTTTGTCGATCGTTCAAACACGTTCCTTTGTTCCTCACGGCTCGGCCGCTACTACATGACTGACCGGTTCGTAAGCGCCTGTACTGTACGAGGTGTGCCGAAGACGAACGAAGAGGTACCAACTACGACGACGACGACGACGGTTCGTCGATCGGAAACGACCCTCGCCGACCGAGGGAACCTTCCTTTGTTCATCCGAGACTGAATGGCACGCCGGAGTCGTATACAAGATTATACCTTTCCTCTTTTTCTCTCCCCCTACCTTCCTTCCTCAAGCATACAACCTCCTCTCTTATATATCCCTCTTTATCTATCTTTTTCGAATTCCTCGTGTTCTTACACTTTCGCACAACTGAACACGTTTCTTCCCTTACGATTCATTCCTTCTTCTAATATATATTTTTTTTCCTTTTTTTTCCCCCAAATACTTTCTATTTTCACTACCCTTATCCTTTCGCTTTCTCTCTCTCTCTCTCTGTCTTTTTTTTTAAGTGGTCTCGGTCGTCCACAACGAGAACTTCGATGTAAATGCTCGTACGATCTGTTAGTAACTGAAAGTCACCATGAAACGATATATACCTCAGGATAATATATATATATATATGTAATGTCTACGTGCACATACAAGTAGTAGATATATATGTTGAGAAGATACTGACTCGACGCGACATGGGCGTCCCGACGTGGGCGTCCCTGCTACTCGTCGACGCGACGCTATATCCAACTTCGCAAGGGTGGGTTCCAACCACCACCATCACCACCATCACCACCATCACCACCGACACTTCCACCACTACTATTACTATCCCCTCGTCCTCCTCTCTACGATTCTGTAATACCAGACTGCCTCAAATATCACCCCCTCGAGAATCATGGGGTGAATTGCAACGGGTGTCCGAATTCACTTTCAGACTGCTTTATATTTTCTTTCTTCGATTATTAGTCGTATTGAAAATAACAACAACGTTTGAACATTCCTATTAATCCATTCGCTACTACAGGCCACTATAGTGGCCCTCCATAAAAGTCCGACGAACATATGCAGTTCTAGCACATCAAATATCCAATTATGGACGTGTAATTTCAGAGTTTTGTTTCTTTCAATTAAAAATTGTTAACACAATAAACAGTGGGTCGAATATTTCGACCCGTTCAACAGACTGGCGCTGGTTGGCGGGTCGCATATTAATACGTTTTATGCAGAACGTAAGCTAAGTTTCAGTAAAACACTTGCTAATGCTTGTTTTATTTTTCTGTCCAGCTCACAACGTTCCCAATGATAGTGTGTTGATATCAGCAACAAAATTACTTAAAAATAAAGTGAAGTTTTGATGATGCACGTATTAGCAGCCCATGCAGTATGAGTAGCGTTAAAGAAAACACGCCCATAGCGAAAGGGTTTCTAAGTTAATCTATCAAAAGCACGTAGATTTTCTATTAAATGAAATTAGAAATTTGTGTTTGTCTCTCTGGTATAATATAGACTAATTTATATCATCCTTTATCTGTACTTTTTATATTCGCGAATGGACTCATTAAAATGATTATTTGACGAGAGACTCAACATAGAAATCGATTATAATAGACGAACTACGACGAGGAGGGCTCGCAATAAACCTACGTAATAGACGAGAGACAAATAACCCTTGCTAGCGTTCTAAAAAAGCAGCTCGATATCTCAATAACATCGTAAAACGGTATCCAATTACCGAGGGAAAGAAAAAAGAGAGAGAGAGAGAAAGAGAGAGAGAAGGGATTAGAAACATTTCTTCCATGCCATAACCTACGGTACATCGTCATTTCTCATGGATCGATAAAAGCTAACCCCTTTATACATATTTACAGGATGATTCAATAAAACTATTCCTTACTTTATTCCGATTCAATGTTACAATTAGAAAATCCTATTGACTTATGACACATCTTACGAGCAAATTTTTATCAATAAACTGAATTAACCATTTTTGAATGCGTGTCCATTCTCAGCAACCAAAAGCCTTTTTAATAATTTAATTAAATAATAATTATATTAATATATATTAATATAAAAAAATAAATTAATATAATAATTAAATTAAATATAATAATAAATATAATATATATATTATAATTTAATATATATAAATTAATTAATTCTTTAAAATAATATTAAATATTAAAAATTATATATAAAATTATATTCGAAAATTATTATTTAACAAACAAAAAATATATATATATATATATATATTAATTCCGACCAATAAGACACCCATGTTCAAATTGAATACATCCGAAAAGGATTAATAGTTGAAAAAATAATAGAAAAACAGAAAGTAAATTATCTTTACGTCTAATATGTGTACGTAACGTTATTAAATAATGAATAAAAGATTACTCGATGAAATTCAATCGTGTGCGAGAAAAATTTTTCCATAAAGGTGGTAACAGAAAATAGAACTGCTGGATAGATGGAAAGAAAGAAGGGAGAGAAGGGAAAAGGCAGGGAAAAGGGAGACAGAGGTTTTAGAATTTCAAAGTTCACCATTTACTACCCCCCTCTGTCCCTTCCTTTCTTCCTTTCGAAAAGAATTTACCTCTCAGACCATCTCCACAACATCGACGAATGTTTTTCTACGAACGTTAAGTTTCCTCGTTTTCTCTTCTCTTTTTTTTTTTTTTTATTTTTTTTATTTTTTATTTTTTATTTTTTTTTTCTATCCATTTTCTATTTCTTTTCTTTTCTTTTCTTAAGTTTTACAAGACTTTGAAAGAAAAGGTTTCTTCGAACTTTCCAAAATCAGGTAGATCATCGTCACACATAGAAAACCATAATTCAAAAGACAGACCCTTTCCTTCTGTCCTACAATAAGAAGAAGAAGAAGAAGAAAAAAAAACGAACGATGTTTCTGCTTCTTCGGCAAAATAAATAGTCGAAAAGGGACTTATTTAAGGATTTCCATGAATATAAATCCCTTGGAAGACTTATCTGCCTTTTCTTCCCATATTTTCTTTTCTCTCTTTTTTTTTTGTAAAATCTCTTTTCAATTTGAATTTTAAGTGTCGAATATTTTTTCGTCTAAATCGCCATTGAATCATTCAATTAATCTGTGACTAATTTAGTTAGTAGGAATGGATGTTTCGTAGTTTCTTTAGATTTCTCTTTGGCAAACATTTTAAAAGTGTTCAATGTGAAAAGGCTCAACAGAAATCATAGTGATAAATGACTAGAAAAACCGTCCCTAATAATACCTAAATTCACTAAACTTAAAGAAAGAAAGAAAGAAAAAAAACATGGTCGGGGATGCATGGACAAAGAAATAAAAAAAAAATAAAATAAAATAAAATAAAAAGAAGAAGAAAAATGTAAAAGGAAATGTTGAGAAAAGGAGAGCCTTTTTCTCTTCCTCACTCTTAACATTGTGTTAGAAAAATGTCTAGAAAAAATAGGAAAGGCAATAGGAAGAATACAACCGATCGACCTTTCCTTTCTTTATCTGTTTCAACCTTTGATTCTTCTATGTTTCGAAAAACTTGAAAAATCTTTCGTTGACTCGACTAAAATAAATAAACGAATTTTTCTATTTGCTTAAAGTGATAGTCACAAATTCCGGAGATATTTTCGATTAATAGATATTGAAAGTTTCAATATTTGACATGAATTCTATTCTATATGAAATTAACTGCAATATTTAATAGTATTGCAATATTGCAATATTATTGCAATAATAATTAAATTAATGTTTCAATTAATATTAAATAAAATAATGAATAATACTGCAATTTATACTAAATTAAATAATTAATAATATTGCAATTGATACTAAATTAAATAATTAATAATATTACAATTAATACTAAAATAATTAATAACATTGCAATTATTACAAAATTAAATAATAATTAATATTGCAATTATCATTAAATTAAATAATTAATAATATTGCAATTAATATTAAATTAAATAATTCATAATATTGCAATAAATACATGCAATGAATAATATTGTAATATTTAGTTAAATCGAAAACTTAAAAATAGAAAAATATTATGACGATAAAATTTGTTCAATTTAGAATTGAAGGAACACGCGCTATATTTATTCCATCATTGCTCGGGGCCAATAATCGAAAGTCTCACTCGAATGAATCCTGAGAGTTCGATAAATTCGTTAAAGGTCTCGAAGGACGTTCTCTGAGAGTTTATTGGAGGGCTTGCTTAAGCCATTTTTAGTTTTTTTTCTTTTTCTTTGCAACGTAATCCTTTTTTGTCTTCCCTACAGAAGAGAACGCATCAGACATCGCAAATGAAATATAAAAAAAAACTACAAATATATATATAT